CCAGCCCATGAATCTCCCGCCTACGATCTACGATCCCTCGGGCCCTGCAAAGCCGAATTAGGGTTTGGCTACGAAGGTTCTGGAATCATCTTCACTGCGCAGTGAGATCCAACCCTGAAGGGTGGGTGACTAATCCTTAGCTAATTGTTTTCTCAACTGTCCCTCGCTAAATTAAGCATCGGAGCCCGTGTGACTAAGGTCACACCGGTTTAGATCGGTTTGATTTTGCAGGTATCAATTCCTTATCATCGAGTTAGGTGTGTGCGAGAAAAAGAGTCGGAGGGTCAAAATCAATACATCAACCACCTTATTTTCCTTTTGTTGGTTTAAAATATCTCCCTTTTGACATCTCCTTTCACATTATTGCAATCTTTATCAATTTCTTACCTGATTTGGAAGAAACAAGTATTTAATTAATGTGGCTACTTAAAAAGTAGTTTTGGGTATTGGCACAAAAAAAAAAAAATCAACTTTTAACTCACTTTAAAATATCTTTTATTTCTTCTCTTTTTCTTTTTAGATTTGACATTTTGTCGGCCCCCTCCCAAACCAAAGTACGTGCTATTCACACCAGTTTTTATCAGCACATGTCAAGTTTTCCCCCATGCAAATAATAAAAAGGTAAAAAATCTTCCACGGGAGAGAAATCTAGTACGATATTATCTGCTTTGAATATATCTCTTATGGTTTTACTTTTTTTTTCATCAGATATAATTGTTCTCATCTATATACCATGAATCATGTTCTTACCTAATCAATGTAAGACTTTGTTTGCATTTCTTACAAACCTAATAGATAGTTTCTACTTTGAGATGGTCAATGTTAGCATGAGTAATATCGTCTTTTGAAACATGGGCAAAAATGTTCATAGAATATCACATAGACAAAAATTTCTACATAGTATATTGAAGGTATTTGACAAAATATTCAACTAGGTTTAAATCTTATTTTGGTTTTCAAATTTTCAGGTTTAAATCCTTAAACTTTCAAAATATTAATTTTAAGGATGGTCCCTTTTTTTCTTTACAACATATGGGGGTGGAGAATTGAACTTACAATCTCTCGATTAAGAATATATGTCAATTGCCACTGAGTTTCACTTTGGCTATTTTAATGATAATCCTCAAACGTTTAAAATATAAACATTTTATATCTTGGTCACATAATATATGTGGATCCAATACTCACTTTAGCCAACTTGTATGATTCTAGTCCATGTCCAAAGTTAACGATAATCCACATATAGTTTGTCCAATGGGCAAAATAACGGTAGGAAATAGGAACGAACATTGTTGTTTTTTTTTTAAATCTAAAAATAGACATTTTGAAAATTTATTGACCATCAATTACAATAACTATCTCATATAAAAAAGTATACGTCAATGGCGTTGAGCTATGCTCACTTTGATGATACTATTGAAATATTAATTTACTCCTCAACGTCAATTCCATGACATAGTAAAAGTATTGATTTGTCAACGTATATTCAATATCTTGATTCGTAGCTCGTAAAAATGCACGTGCCTATGGTACTAGATTCCCAACAAAAATATAAATTCTCTGTATTTTAATTTCCTAGATAAAATTTATTTATTTTTATTCATATTGTTTCACTTTGTCTTCTCTATCTACTTTTCTAATTTATACTTGTATTTTTTTAATAATTTCCACTCTCATAAAATCTTCTGTAAATTCTTCCCTTTAATTCATAATTAATGATTATTACATTAATCCCAAAAAATTCCATATTATATTAATGAGTACAAGAATTCAAAATAATATTTTTATAGCTTATCTTAAACAAGTGTTAAATTTATAGTAATTAACTCGAATAATTCATTTTCTCTTTCTTTCAATAGATTTTAAACAATTTCAATCCACTCTTAAAATCTAATACACACGTATCCTAAATTAATTTTAAAATCGATAAATCAAATTATGCAGTCTAATTGATAATCAGAAGAATAATCACTATATTATAAATCGCTGTTAGGACTTTTATCGATGGGATCCTTAACACTTAATAATCCCTTAAATTAAAGTTTATATCAGAGAAAAAACATTAGAAAATTATACAGGTATACAAATCGAGTTCATTAAATTCGAGTAATCTCTTTTTTTGAAATAGAAATTCCTCGCCAACACTAATTAACCAAAACCCTTTTTATCTTCTACCTATATAAAGTTTCTTCATAAGGATTTTTCACATAAAACTTATGCTAGTTGTTCACTTTTCTTTATCGTTTATAGTTTTTAACTTTGTTATTAGTCTAGTAATTACAAAAGTAAAAACGGAATCATAATTTTTAGAATAATAATACAACACTTTATCTATTGAACTATATTCAAATTAAAAAAAACGATACAATAAATTTATAAGAAAGTTACATTTAATAGCCAACTTAAACATAATTCAACTAATAAAGACACTCACGACTCCCACCCCACCCCACATGTTGTACTAAAAAAATCACGCTAATAAAAAAAAAATATGAACTAGTATGATAAAAGGTTGCCGACCTAGTAAGTCGTAAATGATATTAAATTATATGTTGCCGTGGATTAAAACTTTGTATGAGTTTAAATATTTCACTCTCGATGATGATGATTATTATTATTATTATTTAGTAACACACTCTCAATTATTTTGTACATAAAAAGAAAGCAAAAAAAGGACATTATTAAATTATAAAGTTGACAAAACAAAAGGCTGCTCAAGCATAAGGCCCTCGAATTATTAACTACAGATCTTTTCAAACGTGAATGTGTATTTTCTGTGAATATTAATTTAACACAATTTATAAAATCAAAGTGGTTTTAGATTTATATTCTTCTAATTAATTAAGTTACTCTTAATTAATTAATAAATTATTAATAGTTTGGTTTAAAGCTTTAGGAGTAGGCTTTCGTATTTTTTTTCTTCCCCAAAGGTAGCTTTCGTAATTTTCAGATTTGTTCGTCTTTATTTTTATGTCAATTATTTGAAATTTCCAGCTTTAAATATTATAATATAAATGAGAAAACCACCGACTTATTTTAATAATAGCAATAATAATTATATCTTTTTTGGTTAGCTATCATCTAAGTACATGGAGCATTCAATGAAAATCTTGACAATTTTTTTTTTTTTTTGAGAAAAGGTAAAATTATATTGATGAATAAAGCTAGCATGAGAAAGTTGAATATTTGTAAATATTAAATTGAAATTGTGGCCATGAGTAGGTTAAATATCATTGATCCGAGTTGAAAGGTAACATCAGTCCGAAGATAGGTAGTAATTAATTTTAGAAAAAAATATATTTTTGGTCCCTGAGGTTTGGGATAGGTGTCAATCTGATCCCTGAAGTTTCAAAATGAACACTTTTGGTCCCTAAGGTTTGAAAATTTATTCTAAATGGTCCTTAAGTGTTCTTTGATCATTAGTTAACTCAATGGAAAAATGACCTGGCAATTAACAGGTGACTAGTTAGGGACCAAATTGAAAAGCAAATTAAATAAGTCCAGTCACTCATTAATTGTCACGTCATTTTTTCGATAAGTCAACGGTCAAAGAATGGTTAAGGACCATTTAGAACCAAATTTCAAATGGGACCAAAAGTGTCCATTTTAAAATTTAAGGACTAAATTGACACATATCCCAAACCTCAAGGACCAAAAGTGTTCATTTTGAAACTTCAAGGACCAAGTATTTTTCCCTTAATTTTATTTGAGGTTAAAGGTATAATCCTCAGATTAATATATATAAATAAAGGGTCATAATTTTAAATTTATTAGTGATAGATTAAACTGCATTATGTTGATAACAAATCTTCAATTACATAAAAACAAACACAAATAATCTAAAATAACTCGAATGATAAAGACACCTATATTATCTTTTAAGTTAATGACTCAACCTACCCCCGAAATTGTTGAAATAAAAAATGAAAAAAAAAGACACTAATTTAGGTGAAAGTTCCCAAACTATGCGAATAATGGACTACAATATGTTGGGCACAAATATAACCTATCGTATGGTGAAATACGATTGAGCTACTAAACTCATCCATAGATCGTCGAGAGCTACTAAGCTCATTCTAGTGGCCGACTTATGAAGCTCTACCCAGAGTGGTACCAAATAGCTCGACCAATCTAGAGATAATCTCAAAAAGGTTAAACATCGACCTCAGCCACTGTCGACTTATGACCCAAAAGCTCATAACCACCTAACTGCTAGTTGTAACGACCATTACGAACTGGTCTCTTCCTATCTACTTATAAAAGAGGTGAAAATGTAGCCAACCCTCAATTCTTTGCACAGCACAATATATTCTTGTCCAGTTACAAATAGAGAAAAATAAATATTGATAAAATATCGATGTCGATGAATATTTCTGTAAAAGTTATATAGAAATTAAAAAATCGTAAAAAAATATTTAAATTAACGAACATTTTCATGTTTCTAAATAAGTTAAAAATAACCATGAATATTGGTATGGATATCATCTTTAAAATTATACTTTTTTTATCATTTCTAACCACAAATCGGCATTAGTTTTTTCATCCAATATCCCCATACTTCCATATTTGATTTAGAGACAGGCTTAAATGCTTCTTCCCTTTTGCAACCACCAGCTTATACATGTAAATATTATTTTGGTATTCTCTTGATATCTTTGTATGTAAATATTTGCTCTGTAAAATTTAAGCCCCATTCTGTTCCTAATGGGCTTTAAATGAGTAGGAGGAAAAAAACCCAAGAATTTAAAACCATGGTACTCTTTGCTGATGCCTGATAGAAACTCAATATGTAATTTCATCTCTATTCATCTCATCGTTTTCCCATCAAATTTGCCAGTAAAATCTTTGTGGCTATCACAACAAGAACTCAACGATAAGTTAATAACAGCATTACAAATATGAAACGAAATGGAACACTTGCAACTTCTGACTTCTTGACCCGAAAATTTGCGGCCATTTTATCTACAAAATTAGCTCAGCAAAACGTCTTCTCTCGGCTTCATACTTTGATCGTACCAAATAGATAAACTGTAGCTTCTATGCATGCTCAACAAGATGGTGCAAGCCACCGCACACCCGAGAGAGAACCTAGCAGAAAACCAAACCATCCCTGAACGAGCAAAAGCGAGTAAATTTGGCAGCAAATGTAAAAAAGAGAACTTCCATGGGACTGACCAAAACACTTTCAATCCCACAGCAGCAATGTGTCCCATTTGTGATGTTAGAAGAGATTTTCCTATGTACATTTTCGAGCATTTACGACTCTCCGGATTCACTATCCTTCATATTCCTGTTCAAGTCCTTGCACGGTTTCTGTTGGTTATATTCGGGTTCGGACACTCTCATTGTGGAGCATTCCTCAAGTTGATATACTCTTTCATTGACTAACGATTTTGTGAAAGCACATGGCCGCTCCTCAGCTTCTATATTAGGTCCAGGCTCAGTCATTGAGCAATATGGCAACTCCATAGATGATGGACCAGGAGGTTGTGCTCTCATTTGAACAGAACGCAAGAGCGCAGCCCTTCTCAAGTCTGCCGAGTGGCATATGTCGCTGGGAGATGACGGGAAACGGCCCTCAGAATCTGATCCACGTTGATGTGGTTGCAAGCCAGGGACGGGACTAGTAGAACATCCAAGTGAATTATTATTAGTACTTGTTGAAGGAGTCACCGTGCTGAACGGTCTTTGATATCGATATGGCGAGACTGGACTGGTAGGTACACTGTCAGACTGCAAAGGAAATAAGTTTGTGGATGTCTCACAAAAACGGCAGTCATCTGAATCTTCAGACATAGGAGAATATTGCCAGGACATTTCATCCCTGGAAAATAGGATTAAAGACAGAAAAAATGAAATTTGATTAAAACAGGGAAAACTGAAACCATCATTTAGAAAGATAAAAAATATGCCACCATGAGCATAACACAGCAGTAATTGACGTCAATTCCTATCATGTACTTAAAAAAAAAGAAAGATAAAAATATTGAACAAAGTACCACCACGAAAGGTAAGTGATGACTCATGGTGGACACTGGACAGTTGGGAATTTATTGTTCACCGAATTAGTGCACGTAAGTTGGCCAAACGGGGTGGATTTTAAAATGCAATGAGGGGAAAATTTTAAACCAAAATCATAAGGGTTGAAGTAAAAGGCTCTGAAATTGCATGAAACTCGAAATGGCTGTATTCAAAGATGAGAACAAGAGATCTGGAGAACTTAAACTTAATTTAAGGATGATCATGATTTCACAGACAATAATGTTTTACTCCAGTCCATCGTAGTTCAAGGCTTCTTACACCGTCAAAGAGAAGGGATTATTGATAAAAACCTACATCAATAGTAATAAATTTTCAAAGGCTTTAGAATAAAAACATTGTGAAATTGTAGAAGATAAGACTGCCATTTGTTGCACAAAGGTTTCCTGAAACTTGCATTTCGGTCGAGCTGAGATGTAATTCAATGTTTTTTTTTTCATGTCAGTGAAATTGAAACATATTAATCTCTTTTCCAACCGAAGTTTCATACTAAACCTTATAGAAGTCTAAAGGTAAACAAATATATTATCAACAACGTATAGCTAACTCTACAGAGCAGAAAGATCCGAATCCTAAAAGATCACATCTATATCCTTGTGTAAATCTTTGAAGAACATAAAAAGGGCAAATAAATTGTGAAGTTTCATGAAAGTAAGTTGTGGTACATATCTACTAGAAAGAATCTTCTTCAAGTGCAATGATGGAGGGAAATGTTGACATTCATACCAGGATTTGAAAGTATTCCAACACATATAATCTACACGAAGTGAAGAAGGACAATCGATCAATTACAGGACTCAGAAGATAAGAAAAGGGAAAAGCATCCCCATCCCCATGGAATCTCCTCATCTTTTCCATTATCGGATTATAACTAAGAACGCACCTTTGCTGAAAGACTCAAACCAAGGGTAGTGGGACAACAAAATTAATTCGAAACGTTCACAAAACATCTATCAATCTTTTGCATGAAGCATGTACACCTCACAAATCTTTTAGAACTCAAAAGACACCGTGGTAGAAGAGCCTTCATTTTTTATAACCGGGAGTCGGAGCTTTGCTCTCCTACCCGAGGCACCCGCACCTGCCCCAAAGCCTGGACTCGGGAGACATCAAGAGTTTTTTTGTATTAAGCTCACCAAAAAGTTCAAACTTGAGACCTCTACACCGGTATGACCAAGAGACTCTAAGCTCTTGCCAACAAGGTCGTCCCTTGGAGCCAATTGTAGAAGAAACTATAGAATAGATCCTGTTCAAATTCGTTGCACGTCACAAATTAAAACCATGAAAATTCCCATTCTCGGAATATGCCATCAAGAACATGAACCCTGCCTGGTTATGACACCACCATCATCCATTGGATAACTACTATAAACTTCTTCAGTTGGCATATAAGTAGGATAGGATACCCTCTGGCAGAAAGAATCTAGGAAAGCTGTCTTGAAGTTTGAGATTTTGGGTTTTGTTGGGCTAATTAAATAGCAAAATGAAATGTTAGCATCAGAATCAGCTATGTAATCTTCTATTTACAGTGTAAGCTCCAACTTGAGGATACTAAACTAAGGAATCAAGAAAATGTTTTGTTCAAGAATTCCCATACACAGAGGCATTTCGAAGCCATTCTAAAAGTAAACGGTTTGTTACATTGGAGAATTTCATTTCTTCATGTAAGTTCCTGTCGTTTCATATGTAATAAAATTCCCGTTCGTATATTCTTAACGACAAAAACAAATCAATTGAATTCTTTTGCAATAAATGTCATTACCTTAGATAAAGCATGGATTCCGACCTTGCAGGAGAATCCATGAGATTCTCAGGGAGGGGGTCCCCAACCGTCAATCCATTCAAACTAGAAGCCATTATCTGTGCAACAAAAACAATACAGGAAGGATGAATGTTAAGAGGAAAAAAATCAAAGGAATTATAAAAATTCCAGTAAAAGAAAAAAAGCGATCAAATGACCGATTCTAATTTAAAGAGCAATTTCATCCAAATGAAGAAACACCAGGATAATCCATACCCTAGACGCTGAAATTTCTTACGCAGTTTACAAACCGATAGAATTTTCTAAAAATGTCTAAAAAGTAAAAGTTTCAGACGACCTAACTGTAAATTGAGGGCGCAAAAGGGTACCTCACTGAGGTAGCGCTTATGAGAGTGGAAATTGTCGAGATAAACTTCATCTTCGGGATCTCTGGCTCGCTTCGCGCTCGGAGAAGGTGTAGAAGACGACGATGGTGGTGGCGGTGCCGCAGAGTTCGATTCGACGCCCATCAAGGCAGCTTCAACAGTTTTTGAGCAAGAAATTGAAGCACAAAATTACGGATTCTACGATCATTAGGGTTTGGAGAGCCAATAATGTAGGCAAATTATTTGGAAATCGGAATCATCGTTCACCGCCACCAGTTTTGGATGTAGAAGAAGAAGTCTGGTTTTTCCCTTTTCTGGGCTGGAGAAGAAGAGATGTTGGGGGCTCTGTTTGTTTGAGTTTTCTCACAAACGGCCTTTTTGTTTTTATTTCCAAAATTGATCGTTGATTTTATAAAGTTCGAGATTTAATTGTACTTTGAAGTTTAAAGTCATTTTTTACTTCATGATTTTTAGTGGAATAAATAATTTCAATTATGTTATTTTTTTTCAAAAATTAGAGAAATAATGATTGGGACTAACTCGATTGAGGTATATAGGTTCAAATTTCTAAGGGATAAGCTTTGAAATTTGGAGAGAGGTCTTATATTGAAACATTATAATATCATTTTCTCTTCTCCAATTGATATTGTCTTTGTTCTCGTTTTCAAATCCACAGGCGAGAGCAAATCTTAAATAGCGATAAACAATTAAATTTATCGTGACTCATGGACTTAAATTTTTTGTATAGTTGCGATTTAACTAAATTTTAAATATCAAAGTGAGCATAGTTTAGTAGTAATTGGCATATATCTCCAACAAGAAAGTGTGAGTTCGATCTCCCACCTCTATTTCTACTAGAAGGAAAAAAATATAACTAATTTAATATGGTATCAGATAAACAAAGTTATAATTCTTCAAAAAAATTTGTCCCATATGTTCAAAATTTGCAAATATATCAATAATCTCTAGAAGGTAGTATAATATCAATGTTTAATATGATAAATTCAAGTATTTTTCTTTTTTTCCTTTTCCTAAACTCTATGACCCCAAGGGTGAGTAAAGAGATTCGAAAAACCGATCCGATCAATCAAAACTGATCGAACCGACATCAATCAATTGGTTATTTGGTCTATCGATTCTGATTTTCAGAATCGACAAGTCGATCGATCGGCGATCGGTAATAATATATCTATTAAAAATTTTCATTTTAGTTTTATTCTTATGTTTTTAGACATTATGTTTAGAATCCTCACCCTTCAACTAACAATAATGAAAATTAGTATATACAAAGAAAAAATGAATAGAAATGATGAAAAAGATGAGAATAAATTAAAAAGGGAAATTTAATTACATTGTTAATTTTTCGACAAATGGATTGACCGAAACGATAGCACCAATTCCTACCAATAAACTATTAGTATCGATTTTCAGTTAAGTCAAAAACCGACCCCAACTCATCGATGTTCAGCCTAGTTGCCACTTCCCACTCATCAGAATCAGAAAACTCATGATACGGCAAATACGAGATCTGATTCAGAGAAGAATTTGGAAGGTCGAGAAATGATTTGTAATTGCTCAATCAAAGTTAATTTGAGCATGATGTTATGTATTGACTTATATAGAAAATGTTTACATGAATGAAAGGAAAGTAAT